ATCCCTAAACAAAAATATCTCAAAAAGATAATCGCACAAAGACTCCCAAAAATGAAAATGTCCCCTAAGAAAGAATGCATATACACCCCCACAAAACATAATATAATAAGCATGCTTTGCTATACAATTAATTTATGCGTTAACAATAAATTAAATTAAATTAAATGCATGAAATGCCAAAAATCTATCCCGGACACTAAACCCTAAGGTAACAAGAAAAGAAACAATAAATAAAATAAAATAAAATAAAATAAAATAAAAATGCTGGAAAAAGAAAAGATGACACGTTCATCACAAAATCAATGGCAGAAAACAAAAAAAAAATAATTACTAATAAGGAAAGGAGATAAGTGGACGATACCCAGAAAAAAGGAAATTAATCATCTGTTTATTTTTTTGGTTCATGAGTAAATTGTTTAGGTTTAATCTTAGATACAAAGATTTGCAGAGTAATTTCAAATACGTTTGGAACTGGCATAGCTTTTTTGTTTAATTATTTGTGTACCTTTCTTTGTTATATGTAAATACTTTTGTACATAACATCCCAAGCAGTTTCTAATTTAAGTCGATATAAGTTGTACGCGACATCCCCACATAATGCTATTGGATGATAGTCATTAACTCTAATCGAATAAACACTAGTTCAAATTATAATCTACTAAGTGATACGTAGTTTATTTCATGCTATGTTATACATACAATCCTAACAAAATCCTACTTAACAAAATCCTAAGCAGTACGTAGTTTGTTTCACGCTTATGTTATGAGTACAATCCCAACAAAATCTTACTAAAGAAAGTAATTGGAATACGTAATTGAATAGGAGAAAGATCATAAACAAAGACGAAGAGATAGAGAGAGGAACACCAACATAGGAATTATGAATCAATGAACCAACAATTTTTAGACAAAGTAAAAAAAAAAATTGAATGTTATCACACGTAAACAACATGAATTTGGAATTAGCCAACAATTATTCAGATAAAGGGAACAAATTTGACGATAATCAAATGAATTTTACTAGAACCTCCAAAATAAAATATAAAGATCAAGGTAGGGAGAGGAAGACGATTAGCCCCTAAAATTAAATACCAGAGATCAAGTAGAGAGAGAAGACAAAACAAACTAGACCCACCTTGTTTATTAAAATAACTTATATTATATTTTAAAAATAATATTTAAATTTTTTATATATATAGAATATAATTTAAAGGGGCGGTGAAAATTTAATTATTCTATTTTTTTTAATTGACATGGCGCTCTCATATTCACTTATTTGGCATTAGATAGAACCGATCACTAATGAGACACGAGGGGATTTTGCACCATTTCAGTTCATATGTTGTTGACTTTTTCATTACAACATTGAATGTATTATTGCATTTTCTGTAAGGCATGTACCACGTGGTCATTTTATAAATTTCGTGAGCAATTCAAATGGGAGAGGGTTGCTGAACACACAATGTCAAATCACACAAGAGAGTACAAAATAATAAACATCGGACACGACACTCTACTCATAAGTAATTTGATAAAATCCCAGGAAGCGGCAACATAATTTACCCTAAAATAAATTATCATTCCGTTTTAAAAGTTTTTTTATTTTTAATTTTAATTTTTTTTGAAAAAAAAGATGGATGGTGTAGGTGAGTAATGTAATTTTGTCTAGTTTGATAGTTTAGAAGAATACCCGCAGGGGTATGTAAAATATCTTGAGAGTTGAGATTCGTTTTTGTTCTATTTATTCTTAAAAACAATATATACGTATATCAGTCCACATAAAACATCTTAATGATAAATATTGTCGACATACTACTTCTTAGAGTCCACTATTTATCCTTAAAAACAATATATATCTATATCAGTCCACATAACACTTCTTAGTGATAAATATTGTCCACGTACTACTTAGAGTCCACTTGCTGCCGACTTCGAGATGTGCTCATTAATTTTAGATGGATAATACTTTTATCAAACAAGAATAAGTTCCCAATTAGTATAATATTTAAAAGTTTAAGCAATTTGAAGGAATATATGAACATAAATAATATTAGATTATGCATGTCATTATGTTAGAAAAAATTTTTGCCAAGTGAATCCAACTGTAACAAATTAACAAGTCATGAACTTCTTTTTTTCAATATATATTTATAACAATGTCTAACAACTTGCGTGTTAAAATGTGAAAGGGTAGTACCAAGTGCTTTCTATAGTACCGTGTGTCCCTAAATCAAACAAAGAAGAAAGAATTTAATGATTAGGAGTGCCGCAAGGACAATTTTTTTTTTTTTTTTTTTTAATTTGTCCTGTAATTTGTGCAAGTGTCGTTCTATAATTTGTTCTCGAGTTTTAACTTTTATCCTAAGTAGTCTTATGCCATTTGGACATAGCACCACCTACATATATAACAATTTTGCTTTTCGTGTACGTGTGGAATCATACATATGTAGCATGCCAGCATAGTAGCCTATAAGTGTCATCGAATCCGTTCACGCACACCCAAGAACAAACTATGTGGATTCGGATCTAAAATGAACAATATCATATAACATTTTAAATTGTATAAGGCCTTTTCGGGATAAAAATAAAAAATAAAACCGTTCGGGCTCGGAACCAAAGCAGATATCATACCATGTGATAAACTGAGTTGTTATAAATGGTATCCGAGTCTAATCCAGCCAAAAGTGTAATTAACGAGAACGTTGAGTTCCTAAGGAGGTGATTGTGACGATCTTGTGGGTAGATGTGCATAAGCGGATGTGAGACATTATAGATTACAGATATACAAACCCACATTACCTGAATGTGAAATTATATATATATATATATATATATATATATATATATATGCCTAAGAGCAAAACCGTAGGAACCCAGATCCAAAGTAACAATTTCATACCACTGGCATGCACACATATATATAGATGGTGCTATCCCTAAATGTTGTAAGATAGAATAGGATAAAACCTAATAACAAAATCGAGCTATTTACTCGATTGCAAACATTTCTGGAACACCTCTAACAGAGATCCAAAGTAACAATTTCATACCACCGGCATGCACTGAAGTGAGTTATTACACATCTAACATTACTTCCACCAAATGATATTAGGTGCAAATTTTCATTTATCATCTTATATTTTAATTAAATTTTGCGATTTATATATATATATAATATGAAATGATGATTCTCTTCTATACAATGCAATTAAAAAAAAAAAAAAACCCAACACCACACAATAATATGAAATCAAGAATATGACACAATAATGAAAATGTGTTACATCTTTGATTCATTGATATTGTAATATTGCAACTTAATATGTGTTGAGAATTTTTTTAATAAAAGTAAATAAATATATAATAATAAATTATATATCCAGTTATAATATATTAAATTATATTTAATCTAATCATTTTATTTTTTATTAATATCATATTAAGTGTGGATATATAACCGTTATAGTTATCATTCTATATAAGGTGGAATTCTTCTCATTTTTCTATATATATATGAGTGTTTTACGTATGAGTAATGATATAAGGTGAGTGAGACACTTCCTCTATTTTATTATCTATTTTCAGAACTTTTTCTTCTGTGAGATGTTAGCGTATATTATTTTACATATTGAGTTTGCGAGCAACATATTGAGTTTGCAAGCAACAAGACATATATAGATTTGAACCTAGTTTTTCTGTGGTCGTGCATATAGAGGAAATATTGCTGCGAGCTGATTGAGTTGTATCTTGGAGTTGACTAGTTTCGCCAATACCCGCACAAAGGATAGGATTATCAACTTTAAGCCAATGTGTTTACACATGTATCAACAATCAGGCCAACACTTTTTTACCTATTTTAATATTGTTTTCATTTAATAATTTCTATTATTATATTAGTTATCTATTGCAGAATTATTATATTGTTGAATCCGTATTCATTATTATATTCATGTTGTTCAATTGATGTATTATATCGTTTAATAAAACAATTGTTACTTGATTCGTCATTGGTATTATTATTCGTTCATTTGAATCATTATGTATGAATTGGTTAATATATTAGTAGTTGTTTTATTTATAAAATATGTGAAATTAAATTAATATATTGGGTATGACAAAAAAAACAGTTAATATATTGCGTCAATATATACATCTATGCTGTGCCTTAATACAGGGCTGCATATATATATATATATATATATATAGCAAACACAACACCACCAAACAAAACTAAGTAGAATTCATTGACCCTGTAGAATATAGACATATCCCGAGAAGCCACGATATGAAAAGGCATGGATGGGAGAATGCAACCGAAAGTCATTGATTCTCGAAATAAAGATGCAAAAGCACGAGCCACTGTGTTTCCAGATATCCAAACATGAGGAACCGTGTGTGAACACTTGATAAACAAAACCGGCGTAGTGCTGCATCCTTGTTAAAGTGCACTAAATCACCCGTGCACGCATTTACCATTGCGCGGGACTGCCTTGTGTGAACACATAATTTTTGGGTCAATATATACTTAGTTAAAATGGTTTTGGTTCAAAAACCCGTACAGGGAATGGGATGGGATGGGTCAGTCAGTGACAGTGTCCTTTATTATTAAAAAAATATATATTGTTTTACCCATATACTTTATGTTATATGCAAAATTGTCCTTCTTGTTATAAGAAAATTGATCATTTTTATTTGATATAATTGTATAAAATTTAGAAGAATGTTTATTAAATTTAAATTTCTAATTATGAGTTTTTAAAAAAAAAAAATTGTATTAAGATTTAAATAATTTTGTAACACATATTTAATTGCGTAATAATTTGTGATTAATCCGTACCGACAGCATCAGGTTGCGTGACATCTCCGAATGAAAAAGTGGGGCCCATCTTCCTTACCACTTGCCAACCCTAAATTAAACCTGCGGTGTAAAATGATCCGTTTGGCCCAGCATCGGGTTGCGTAATGGCTGGGCCAACCTCAAAAAAATATATACATATAAATACTATATAGCTGGGACCTACCTTTGCACAAATCAATCTTATCACGGAGACATACGGAAGCCCGAATATCAATCTTAGGATTATAGTTTCTGTCTGTCTAAAAAAAAAAAGGAAAAAGAAAACGTAAATTTGACCAATGAAACATAAAGTAAGCCGGGGTACTTAGATATTTACCACAACAACTTTTAAAAAAAAAAGAAAAATATCTAAATATAGAGTCTATACATACACATATATAGCCCATAGTCGCTCTCTAAGAGATATTAATATGTACAGTACTGTAGTTGGTAAAAATTGTCGTGCCATGCCTAGGAACAGGGATCCTCTGGTTGTTGGGCGTGTCGTGGGCGATGTTTTGGAGCCCTTCACCAGGTCAGTTGGCCTTAGGGTCATCTTCAACAGCAGAGAAGTCACAAATGGTTGTGAGTTCAGACCCTCTCAAGTTGTGAACCAACCCAGAGTTGATATTGGAGGTGATGATCTGAGGACCTTCTACACCCTTGTAAGTCAATTTTCTCTTATCTTCTCATCTCCGGAAATATATATATATATATATGTGTGTGTGTGTGTGTGTGTGTGTGTGTGTATATGTATGTATTCACTATGTATATATATGATTTGTTGCAGGTTATGGTTGATCCTGATGCTCCCAGCCCAAGTGACCCAAACCTTAGGGAATACTTGCATTGGTTAGCGGACTCTCTCTCTCTTGTTCTTCATCTTCTTGTTCTTCAGACACAAAATAGAAAGAGATACAGATCTCTATTTGATGCGTTATTGATATGCATTAATTTTTCCAATAATATATGTATATATAAGATATATTATTATTATCTGCCCTTGTTTTTGTTTGATATGTTTGCATCAATTTCGATGGTAATTGTGCCTTATCTCCCCCAAACTCACCCACACACATATGTGATGAGGAATCTCTTACTCTCTAATCTATGTGTATGCGTGTATAGATAGATATATATATATATGTGTATAGATATCACAGAAACAAATACAGGCCGCGTTGCTCAGTTTATGTTAAAGCAGTCTGTTCTTCCCCCTTCTCTGTTCGATGTCCATCCCACTGACAAAAAAAAATAATAATAATAAATTAATAAAATAAATAAACAAATAAATATCTCCAGAAGAGAGAGAAAGAAAAATAACCCTCACGTGCCCACCACCATCTCTCTCTATATGTCAGCATATGTATATATCGTTCTCAGTCCAGATAAGATGTACTTTTAGCCTTGTCACTTGGTTTGTTCAGATCCCCAAGAAAGAAAAATTAATATATATATATATATATATATATATATATATATATATATTAATAACAACAACCACCACATACAACTTGGGTTTGTTTGATTCTTTTATAGTTGGATCTCCATCAGGCTTCCATAATTACATTCAACGTTCTCCAACAGGTTTCATAATTACATTCAACGTATGAGCGATTCAGGATAGTGTTATTTTTTTCTTTTTTTCTTTTTTACGAAGTTAAATTCTAGATTTAACGTTGTTGCACTATAAATGCCATTTTTTATTTTAATATATGGGATTAACATGTTTCATTCGCGAGTTAGTGTACTATAATGTTAATTTAAAATGCACTAAATGAGACGATATAATATATTATATGAGTGTTATATTTTTTTTATTTTTACGTAAATGTGATGTATGAATATTACATGATTACATATGTAACGCGTTCCACGTCCGAGTGCACTCGAGAATATGGGGTACTCGCAAATATTAATGAAATCGAATAAAAACAGAAAATTCGATCCAGAATCGGAATCAATCTGGCTTAGAAAACGTCAAACTTGAGATAATGATGAGTGTTTGAACCTGGGTTCAGAAAGCATAGAGAAGATAAAAAGAGTTCATGAATTAAGATATGATGATAAGGCTTTTCTTGAGCATATAGGACGCTGTTGGTGATTGTACCCGAAAGGTAAAGTTTTGGACGAAAGCTATCGATTGCTTGTACCTGAAAGGTAACGTTTTGTATAAGTAAATATATATTGTTTGGCTTTTAAGTGATGCTTGGTTCTGTCTGATAATTAACTCTTTGCTCTGTTGGTGCATTAATTTAGTAGATGATGGTATGATTGTACTAAATTTGATAATATTGTATTCGTGAATAATAAAAAGTGAAGATTGATGGTACTCAATATTATTGTAATTTACTGAATCGTATCCGTAATATATTTATTTTTAACAACACGGTCCGATAGAGAAAATATAGATAGTGGCAGTGCATTCGTAACCATTACCGATTTACATCCATCACCGATTTACATGTATTACCATGTATTGCAAAGAACACCGGTGGAACCAAAACGGACATAAACCACGAAGCTACCGGTGAATGTGAATCCTCTCTTGGGTGTGCTGTGTCCGTCCCTCCGTCCGTAGAATCAAATTATTTCGTGGATCGAATTTCGCTTGACTGTCTACCGCTCTGCGAGAGGTAGAAGTTTTGTATAAATTTCTCAAGTAGTTTGATTCGGATAATAGGTTTGTGAAATTTTAACCCTATTGTTTATCTAGGGGAATAAATTTATTAGTTTATTAATCTTTATTTTCTGGATCTCATGAGTGGTCTTTTGATGGGTAGTAATCAATAGACTGTTTCAGTGATGCTTGTTTGGATGGAGATGAAAGTGAAAGAGGAGATAAAGGAAGTAATCATCTGTGTGTATATGGGATATGTATGCTTTGCCGTCCTTATCTTAATGGATGTCAATAAAATCAGCTCTCTCATGCACATGATGTACCTGCAAATATCTTTGGACAAAATTGCCAAAATATCTTCACTCAAGAATTAATTGAATATTCAAGACGCTGTCGTTTTGGACCATGGGGGATGATAAATATCCAGATTTTAGATATTAAAAATCTTGACTGGTTCTCCAAGGTTGAAATTGTTTGTCCTAAGTGTAAAAATCTGACTTTTGATGTACGAGACTTTTTGATTAGTGGATTTGATATCTTTGTATTTTAAATTATTTTATTTATTTTTCAATAATTTTATGTTTTTGTAATAGCTTTTAAATTATGATGGTAATGAAATTCGTATTTCGATTTTCCTTGCTTACAATTGAATAAAGTTTTTTATAAATAAAATACAATATTATCTTTAAAAAATTTTAAATCTACACTTTCTAGTTTTATAAAAACATATTCATGTCTTTGTCATTTTATTTTAGGGTCAATTGCACTAAACCCCCTTGACTATCAAGTTTTTGCACTAAAACCCCTTATAAGTATTTTTTATGTACAATACCCCCTCAGCTTACCAATTGTAGCAACAAATTGAACATTTGAGGGGTGTTTTGTAGAAAAACAAACTCTTGAATGGGGTGATTTGCAAAAAATTGATAGTCAAAGAGGGTTTAATACAATTTACCCTTTTATATAGTGTAAAAGAGCACATTTTATTTCATTACATATATGGGTATGGTTGAGAGTTCAAGTCATCCTAGGGAAAGTGGGTGTACAAGTTAATTGCAACAAAAATGATTTTTGTTTTTTTTTAACAAAAAAGAGGAAATTTTAAGAGATCGAGGAGATACTACTAGTCTATATTTTCTAGTGATAAGCATATACTTTTATAATATTTATTATTTTAATTTTATTTTTGGTAAGTATTTTTTTTAATTTCATTTATGCACATATATTAATGAAATGCACAACATAAATAATTAAAGTCCTTATGCTCGGTATTAACTAGCTCACTCAAATCGTAAATTGTGGTTTCGTCTATCATATATATAGGTATTCATATAATATATATGTATATTTTTTGAAATTTATATATTCATGAAAATTTCAAAATATATTCTATATACATATTCACATAATGTATATTTATAATTTTTTACATACTTTTTTTATAGGTATAATTAATATAATATATACACGCACATATACATATGAAAGTTTTTAGAGCAAATTGCACTAAACTTCCTTGACTATCAATCTTTTGCAGATCACCCCTTCAAGAAAAAGGGCATTTTCGTCACAAAAATGGCATAGTGAAGTCACGTGCCATTTCAGGTATTTTTTTTAAATGGACGTTTACTTCCCTAACACCACCCCCCCCCCCCCTTCCCCGTTCACGAGATTTTTGTTAGTTGGGGGGGTTTTATGCTAAAAATTTTCGTAAAAAGAATTTATTGCTGAAGGTTGAAAGTCAAGGAGGATTTAGTGCAATTCGTCCTTTTATTTATTTAAAAATTTAAGTAGAGTGCTGGGCAAATAGTGGATAACAAATATTACATCTATTTTCCATAGGGTTCTTTGTTGGCCTTAAGGCTTCCTTATGAATTGTGATAAAATAAAGAAGCCAAAATTGTCCTTTATGGTCTAGATTAAAAACAAGAATATATAGTACACGATTTTTCAGCTATTGCTATATTTGGGAGTACCAAATCGTAAATTTTTTCTAATTCCAAATTCAAATTGCTGCTTCAGTGCTCCCAAATACAACATACGTCATCTATGAGTTGAATTCTTAGATATGTTGAAATATTCAAGTGGGACTGCATTTTATTTCATATGGCTATTATTACTTGACTATCATTGTTCAATCTAAAGGGAGCAAGTTTTTAAGAAGAAAACGAGTAGTTTGTATTGATAATTGTTTTACTTACAACAAATGGTTAATCATCTTCAAATGGGTACTTTTTTTATATAGTGTTAGGAATTATAACCCTTCGTTCGGCATGACGAATGCGTATAACAAACAAACATAGAGATCCAATCATAAAATAACAAACAATAACACAATAAAAGCATGATATTTAACATGGTTTAGCCTAACCTGCCCTACGTCCACGAAAAGAAGAAATTTCACCATCATTAGAATACTACACTGTAGAGAATGTCCATTCGCACATTATCTCACGAGAAATTACAGTGGTAGATACTTTGAATACTGGATCGTGTACACACATTATCTACTCATGGTATGATGTTTGATACCAAGGCTTCCACTAGACCCTTGCTTGGTACTCCACCACTCATTTATCATCTCTACCCCCTCCCTTCACACACACACACGCGTACACACTCACCAATTTCTATGAGGCTACATCTCTCTACGTTGCACTCACTCTCTTCTCTTCTCACTCACTCCTCCATTCTCTTTTCTTCTCTACCCTCTAAACTTAACTCCCTCTTTGTATATGGGGCTTCTAACCCATAACTTGGCAAGCGAGTAACACAAATCTTTGTTGGGCAAGGAATGTGTAACGACCCACTCCATCACATGGTATGATATTGTCCGCTTTGGCCAGAGCCCACACGATTTTACTTTTGGGCTTTAACCCAAAAGGCTTCATACCAATTGGAGTGACACACCTACATATAAGTACTTCACCTTTCCCTTACGTAGGCGATGTGGGATTGTGCACCTATAGCTCGCCCAGTGTGGTAGCCTGCCAGTATCTCGTACCTGCTTACGGCACACCCGCCCACAAGTTCGCCATAATTACCCCTCTTTTGGGGTCCAACGTCCTCGTTGGCCACACTTCTGGTTGGATCAGGCTCTGATACCATTTGTAACGACTCACTCCACCACATGGTATGATATTGTCAGCTTTGGGCGTGAGCCCCGATAGTTTTGCTTTTGAGCATTAACCCAAAAGGCCTCATACCAATTAGAATGATACACCTACATATAAGCACTACACATTTCCCTTACCTAGGCGGTGTAGGATTGTACACCTGTAGCTCGCCTAGTGTGGTAGCCTGCCAGTGCCTCGCACCCGCCCATGACACACCTGCCCACAAGGTCGCCACAGAATGCAAATACTTAGGGCTTAAAGACAATTACTTTGGTCCTATTGTGTTTTATAGATCTTATCAACACGCTATCAAACTAGACGAACCATTAGCTTTGATACTACTTGTTAGGTAAAAATAACAAAATGGAAGCTAGTGTGGTTTGGCCTAACCCGACCTACATTTATCGAGAGAATAAATTTCACTATCATTAATAGAAGAAATACAAGAGAAATATGTAAAGACTTGAATAAGAATTAATTACTCATTCATAATTTTAGTATTTATATATTAAAAGAGCACGTGTTAATATTACAACAAAGGAAGTTAAATAAATCATTGCATATTTTATGCCTAGACATATGTGTAAATAAAGTCAAACTCCATGATTTATGGCTATTATATCTCCTAATATGGTAGGTCACATCCCATAACTTGTGACTTATCATATCTGGGCTAACATTAATGAGTACCCACTCACACAGTACCTGATAAGAAATTACATAGGTATAAACTTTGAACACTGGACCAT